GCTCCTCCCTGGTCAACAACTCCTTCTTTGCCTTCCTCGCCATCAAGTATGGCTTCCACAGGTACATCAAACTGTCCTCCCCCGGTCTCTTCAAGGACATAGCAGACTATGTGGAGCTGAGACGGCCCAACCCAGAAGAGAATGACAGAGAGGTGAGTATAGCTTAGTGCTATGGGGTTAATTATGTTTTTTCCCTTTAAACATTTATTTTATTCATTGGAGGTAATATTGCCACATGGATAACCCAGGGTTTGATGCCTTTTTTCCCCCTTGAATCAAATTGATGATACAGTTGTTGTTGTTTTGCACCTCATTGGAAAATGGGTACCGTTGCCTCGTTAGTCACCTTGGAAACGAACCAGAATTTGATAGAATATTCTAAGGGTCCAGGGGGGACTGATATGGTTGGCTTCTCCCCCCCCAATGATACAGTATAAGCTCTTTAAAGAAAACAGCCAAATATCAGAACGGTTTGGTAGATTAAGCTAGTCAAACCTCTGGGAGGGTTCACCGTTGATAAGTCGAGCCTCCCATTATTTTTATTGTTGCATCAAGGGGCAGTAGAAATTTATTTTACTTGAAAAGAAACCTCTGTGTTATATACCAAAAGAGGTACCTCTCCCTTTAATTGTGCATCAGAATGATGACACTATGTATCACCCAAGTAAAAAAAAAAACTTTACTAGCGATGATAAAAAAATGAGACATAACACCAGTTTTGGGGGGAAAATCCAGACAAAAAACGAACCTATATATCATGGTTTTGGCCCTCATCAGTACAAGGCCGTGTTTGCTGGTTTCCCAGACTTGCAGCCAACATTATTCACAGGCTGTGGTGAACCTTTTACCACCTCTCTGGCTGGGGTATTGCAGCAACTGCAGCGCTACCTGAGCCAGGAACTACGGGACCATGGCTGCAATGTGGAGGTCCCTAAGGCTCTGGGAGATGTATTTGAGTCAGTGGCGGGAGCTATATACCTGGACAGCGAGATGTCCCTGGATGCAGTATGGAGGGTGTACCATCCCATGATGGGGACAGCCCTGGGTGAGTAACCGTAGGAGAAGTTGCGCAGCGCATGGACTCACCCCCTGGTCACAGAGCTGTTCAGCCGCCAGATTCCCATCCACCCAGTGAGAGCCCTGGTAGAACTCTTCCCTCAGACTCAGTTCTCAGTCCACCAGTCCTCAGGCTCCCCGGCCACTGTCTGTGTGGAAGTTCCCTCCATAGGTACCTTTGTGGGCTGTGGCCAGAACCGCACTGTGGCCAAGTGTAACGCCGCCAAACAAGCTCTGGGAGCCATAAAGACCCTGTAATAAACTGTCTCTTCAATATAAAGATGGCTTACAGATGATCACTCATCCTTTGGTAGAATTGTGGATTTTTTTTAATGCAATACACAGTAGAATCTCTTTTATAATATCCATTTATTTCTATGCAAAAATAGACACTTCGGCCAGTTAGAGTTTTTTATTTTTCTCAACGTTTCGACAAAAATCTTTTGTCTTTGTCAGGAGAAGTAAATAAAGAACAATTTTTAACACCTTGCCAAATGCTTTATTTTTATTTGCTTCTCCTGACGAAGACAAAAGATTTTTGCCGAAACATTGAGAAAAATAAAAAACTCTAACTGGCTGAATTGTCATATAAATATGAATGCCGGCCAGGCAACCTCTATCTTTACGATAACATCCACTTAGTTATATGTACTGTAATATTGTAATTGGGGGGAAGGGGACAAAGTCTGACTGTTATGTGGTGGATATCCAACCAATGACAGCAGCTCCTCATCATGGAGACTTATGAATGATTCTAAAGTCTTAATGATATGGTAACAAAGCTATATCCATATAAATATGTGTGACATTTCAGTAATAATGCTGTTATTGAAATGTCATGCATATTTTATTTATTTGGATATGGTCTTGTTACCTTATGTTTTTATATAAAGTCCCCCCTTGGCAGAGCTGACTGCTATAAGGTGCGTCCTCAGGTGGTGGATAGGGGAACGACCTTCAGATATGAAATCCAGCTGCGAAACAAGCAGAATAACTCTGACGAATAAGCATTCGTGGACCAAAAGCAGTATTTTTAGAAGAGGAGTAGACCTCGCAAGGTAATAAGACCAAATCCAAATAAATAAATAGTGTGTGACGTTTCGGTAACAGCGTTGTTACCATCTTCAGACAAAAGTACTGAATGTATTACTAGTATTGATACTAAATCATTCAGTACTTTTGTCTGAAGATGGTAACAACGCTGTTACCGAAACGTCACACACTATTTATTTATTTGGATTTGGTCTTATTACCTTGCGTTTATATTCTATAATCCAAATTGTGCCTTATCAAGGAGTAGACCTCTTTAAAAATCCTGACTTCAACTGACCCAGTTGATGGACCTCAGCAAGGGTCCCACTCCAGGTATACAGAGGAGCTGCATCTGTACTCATGTTAGAGTCGACAGCAAAGGTGCCTGCTTCCATGTTAGGAACGGCCTCAAACTACAGGCAAAGTCAGACTTTCACCAAAGTGTGCCTGGATCATGGTGCCGTGATCAACGAAAGCTTCACCCCTACACCCCATTCCATGAGATGGAATTCGTGGTTAAACCGTTTGGTTTTCGACCACTAGGACCCGGGTTTGATTCCCGCATTGGACACTTTTTTCTGTTTAAAGAAAAAAAAAATGCTCCAATGGCCCCTGAGCCCCCGATTCTTGCAAAAGTCCAACCCCACCAGCGAGTGCAAGTAACCAAACGGGGCTCTGGCATTAGTAAGTGCAAAGTCGAACTGCTTTTCACATGTGTAGACATGTGGTGCACTTACAGTAAAAGCAGTCGCTAACTACCCACCATGATTATCATGGCCTGTACCACGTGTACTAGGGATAAGCAAAAAAAAAAAAAAAAATGGAATTCGTGTAATCTTTACACAAGGGGATAAGAAACAACAACAACATATAAAGTCCCAAGTTTTAAGTTCCAATTCCTTGAACTGATGGTTAGTAATGTTCTTATAACAAGGTTTGACTGCATTTTTCAAAGTGTGCCAATATGGAAATATGTATCAATCAATTTCAGGATATAGAGGGATAACACCACATTGGGTCAGTGCATAAATCAATTTTTTTTTCTCCAACCTTATAAGAAAATGTCTAATAAAAGAAAATAAGACCTAATCTAAATAATTTATTAGTGTGTGACGTTTCGGCAACAGCATTGTCACCATCATCAGACAAAAGAATAAATGAGGAAAAATATCACAGCAAGTTCTTAAATAGGTACTGTTATCAAGTGTTTAAGTAGTACTATTTAAAAACTTGCTGTGATATTTTTTCTCATATTTATTCTTTTGTCTGATGACGGTGACAATGTTGTTGCCGAAACGTCGCACACTAATAAATTATTTCGATTAGGTCTTATTTTCTTTTATTATAATCCAAATTGTGCTTTATCAAGAAAATATCTAAAAAATTGTTTGAAGAAATCAATGCGCTCCATCTATTATTACTCTGTAAACAACAGTTTCAGTGGGGTCAGTAAACTTGCCATTGCACCATCAAACTGAGAAGTGTCCATCTAGAGACCATGGTTTCGGATTAATGGCCATCCTCAGTCCAGAGCGGACTTTATTCCATGAGATCCACACGGGATCTAATGGAATCTTCACAATCCACCAAAGAGGTGTTTAGCTGGAAAAGTGGCTAGGCCAAATCTATGGCCAAAATATAGATGGAAATTTTGCCGGGAAGATATCAATCTATAAAGACAAAGGTTGCCTCTCCCGCAAAAATAGATGTCAAAGCTATTGACCATTGCTGCATACTAGCAGCCTCTTCAATTATAACTATCAATCATCACTGATGAGCCAGGCCCTCCCATTAATTTTTCCATTGCAGTAAGGGCAGTAGAAATTGTTTATTTTCAAAAAGAATCTTACGCCTTTAAAATAATTTCGAATTTTGATAACAGGTGGCGCGCTAGTGCATCATAACTATTAGTGCCAGCCTAAAAACATCCATTTTAAATTCTTTATATATTTTAAAAAACTATTTTCTTCATTTACTCATCTTCTTTTTTCCCCGGACAAATTAAAAATAAAAGAGTCCAAGTTGCATAGAAATAATCACAATACAAAAATTGGCATTAAAAATCTTTATTTTAAATATTTTTAGGAATACACAAAATATATATTTTTTAAATAAATATTATTGCAGAACACTTTTTTTTAAACAAATATTTTTATTAGAGTTTTAACAACAACAACAACAAAAGCTGTGATATAAAATTAAAGCAAAGAAAAAAAAATGCCATTAATAATGAAAAAAAAAATGTTGTTAGCTAAGTTTGAGGGGATAAAAAAAAAAAACTGGGTTACTTTTGGTCAAAAGTAATTAAAATAATTCAGTGATTGTATATATATGATTTTTTTTTAAACCAGAGATGTAGTAGTAACATAAAGGCAATCCAAGCTCCTGGAGGGTATCCTTAGATTGCCAACTACCTGGTACCAGAGAATAAACACAAGGTAATAAGACTAAATCCAAATAAATAAATACCATAGAATGAAAAATAAAGAAAGAAAATTAAAGGAAAAGGATTAAGATATCAAAATGATGCCTGATTTTGAAAATATGTAAATATGGCCTCTATGACAAAGAGTGCGTTGATTTTCTTGAT